GTCCTCTCCCAAACCTCGATTAAAATCAGAAGTAGATTGATTGGTGTTCATATCAAGAGCAGGAGTATGCCCTTTGGCTCCATTCAGTAAGAACATGACCAAGCTGTTCGTGACCTCCGCTTTCATGCCTGCTGTAATTGTTTATAGTAATGGTTACTCTTTATGTTGGTAATGCAATTTAAAATTGTTTAAAAATTTGTTTACTGATAGAAATTATTGTAGTTTCTGGAACATTCCTAATTAACTATACAGTTTTATTGGGTTTTTCATAGAATGGCAGCATCATGGAAGGCCTTGCATTGTGGAAGAGCAATGTTGACAAACGGTTTGAAGGAACGGAGGAGTGCATGATCTGCTTCTCAGTAATCCATGGCTCTAACTATTCACTTCCTAAGAAAGCCTGCAGAACCTGCAAGAAAAAGTTCCACTCAGCCTGCTTGGTAAGTTGTTTAAACTCAAAAAAAACAAATTTTAAAATTGTCAAGTAATGCCAGAAATTAGAATTTTTTTAAAGTTGTAGATTCCATATTGTTATTAGGAGAATGGTGGACATCAATAGGTCTTTGAATTTTTCTAATAATTGGTACTTTCACCAATAATATATAATAGACAACTTCGTGTTGTGTATCATTCTTTAACAGGGCAAGTATATACCTCTTCCTTTTCCTCTGTGTTATAGATTCCTGGACATGTACAGCATGGAAACAGACCCTTCAGTCCAACTCGTCCATGCTGACCAGATATCCTAAATTAGTCTAGTGCCATTTGGCCCATATGCCTCTAAACCCTTCCTAATCATGTATCCATCCAGCTGCCTTTTAAATGCTGTAATTCTCCCAGCCACCACCACTTCCTCTGGCAGCTCGTTCCACACATGCATCACCCTCTGTGTGAAAAAGTTGCCCCTTAGGTCCCTTTTAAATCTTTTCCTTTGGAATAACTGTACAATGAATTGCAGCACAAACACTGGAAAGTCCCACCGCTCGTGAGTGAGTGTTCCTGTCACAATGTCACAGTGAAATCATAAACCGTGACAATTTTTAAAGGAGTTACCAGCATTTGTTGTCCATCTTAGCATTAAGAGGCAACCAGTAATGTAAAACTGAAGATGTGTAATCAAGACCAGTTATGGGTGGCTTATTCGCATCTTTGAAAGCCATTAATAGACCAGTTGGATTTTGAAATCTATCCTTTGTTTTCTCACTGATATACATGAACTTCACCATTTAACAGTATACAAGTTTGACACCAACTCCATTGAATTCTTAAAACCACATTTTTATTCAGTTTTTTTTTTGCTCCCCTGCAAGAACTTGCAACTTTGAAGCATCGGGAACATAGCGTAAATGGAAATGCAATGCTAATTTTGCAACAGTTGTATTTTAGGAGAGCTTTTTATGTCTTCATTTGTGAGGTGTGGTGGTGAACTACTAATATTATTGGACTAGTAATCCAAAGACCCAGGATAAAACCATTGGTCATTGGTTCAAATCTCACACAACAACTGGAATTTAAAGCTAGACTTGAAACTACTGTTTGTGAGAAAAATGCATCTGGTTCACTTTCTTGCTGGGCAAATGAGCTTTGTAAACTTTCAGTTCACACACTGATTTATTGTAGCATTAAAGGTATTCAAATAGCATTTATTGTTCGGTCACTGTAACAACTACCAGTCTATTTTAACTAAACTAAAATAAATATTTAAAGGGAAACTTTAAATAAAAACACTAAAACCTTTACAGCACTTTCCCCCTGACCCACATCTTATGTTTGTCCTTTTTAAACTTTAAATATATTTTTTTTCCATCTAGTTGACCTTCACTAAAACAGAAATCTTCCATTTTTTTGTGTTTTTTCTTCTTGTTTGCTCCATCACCTGTTTTGGAAATGAGAACAATTCTCAATAAGCACCTAATACATTCTGTTACACACCTATTTGAAAGACTGCTATATCAAAACTGAACTGGTCCACACCATTAATGAAATTATGTTAATCCTTTGTCGTTTTCATGTAGAATGTTCTGATGTCAAATGTCTTGAGCTAGCACATTTATGGCTCGTTGTTTGAGAAAGTGAATAAAGCTTTCACTTTTAGCTAACAAAAGTAGGTTTCCTTAAGAAGTTAGTCATAATCAAGATTGAGGCAAATGTAACATTCATTTAATTCAGTCTGATCGCTTTACCTCACAAATATTAAAATAAAGATGTTTTAAGTCATTGTTTCACTATACAGCTGTGCTGCTGCATTATTTCAGTTGTTTGCTTAAATAGTGACAAAGAAATTAACTTTTTATCCAATAATGAAATGTGCAAAAATGCAAATATTTGGCTTAAAAAAACTGCACGTTCTTTAGCCATCATGAATATTACTAATGAATTGTTACAATTTTCTAATACCCTTGGAATTTATTTGTCTGTCTGCCCTTTTATTCAAATCTTAAGTAGATTTATCTTCAGTTTTGCTGTCTAATTTTTAGCATTTCCTGAAATAGGTCTGAAATGTTTCATTGTTATCAAATTGTTTTTTTCTGAAATGTCCACATCCTGTTAAAATGAGTGCATAATATTTAATACTGCAGTAGATTACTGAAAAGTAGCATTATATTGAAAGCAGTAATTTTTTTGGACTGGAATACTATGGCATATGAATGGTAAGATTGCACTGATTTCTACTATGAAGTTGAGATTTTCAAACATGGACAAGTATCACTAAAGTGTACATAAATAATGGGAACAAGAAACAATTTGACTATATCTTTCATTCTTTCTTCTGACCTTCTCCTATACAAATCATTTGGACAAGGAAACCTTTAATATCTAACAACATTACCTGCCACTGAAGAGAGAATCTGTGCACAGTGCAGCAAAACTGGTTAATGCCACCCTTTGAAAGCATTCTGGGATTCTAGTTAATGGACAATTATATAGCTGAAACTTCCCCTCTTTGTCTTGGTGACATTTATCTATATTTGAAAATTGAAGTTAAAATGAGGAAGAATTTGATTGTGCTAGTGTTTAGAAAAAATGTGCTTTTAAGCTCTGAAAGCGGTTCAATAAGCCTGTGGCAATGTTTGCAATGTTTTTATATTTTTCTACAATAGTATAAATTAATCTGTTTACTAACTTTTGAATTTTTTTGTTTACAGTACAGATGGTTTACTTCCAGCAACAAATCATCATGCCCACTATGTCGAGAGACTTTCTTTTGAGACAGTTTAGCTGTTCTTACGATAAAGCATCATGCACCAATCGAGGCTTTTTGAGGGTCAGAAAGTGGCAATGTTTGAATATCACAGCAGAAATAGTATATTTGTATGATTAGTCTCTAATCCAAAATATAATCTTGGAGGATTTAAGTCAATTAACAGTGTTTAAAAAGCATCAGTAATTTTCCACAATTAAATTTATCAGTTAAATGAAAGGCAGTTTATAAATGTGATTATTTACAAATTTATTTTAAGTTAAGTCTCCATGCTCCAGTTTGTCTTTCTGTGTGGGCAAGGTGCCTCTGTTTCTCAATTGGTGCTATTGTGGATCAACTACTGGGGAATAAATGCACAAAAGTGGTGTCAGAATGAATCTCCTTTTTAATCCCCTCATTTTGTACGATGATGCCTTTTTTTACTCAGCAGTAGGTTATCAAACATTCACATCATATTACCATCCAATAAAACAAGATAGTTTTAATATTGTCACCATTAATTTCCTTCTAATATAAAATATTCAGTGAAATGAATCTTTATTGTTAGTAAAATTCTAAATAATGAAGTGTAGTATTCTGTAGTGTAAATGAGTAATGCCTGCACTGGTCAGTTTTGTTCTTCATATAGTTTTCAGTCTGAATTGAGCCTGGTACAATAATCATCCAGATTAGCATTCATATTAAAATTATGAAGGCCATCAATTTCTATACTTTACTGTTGCTGAACAAACTGTCCAGCACTCTTTCCTCCAAAGCAAGCAGTGTGCATGCAAATTTCAATTTCAATCTGCACATCCACAATAACCTGTTTGGATGCAGGACTACCACTTTAGAAGTGCTGTACGGTCCCTTATTTCACAAAGCTGTTTGTAAAACTTACCCTTGAAGTTTCCAATCGGGTGTGAGACTACACAAGCTTAAAGCATTTATCTAATTCCTCTGCTGGTTCAGCCAAGGCACTAATTAGCACTCCAACTAACAAAGAATATTTTCAGATACACATTTTAAGCTACTATACATAGAAATCTCATGGAAATTTTTTATAATCATAATTCTTTAGGATAATGCCAGGCAATGACCATGTCCAACAAGAGAGAATCTTATCATTTTTTAACATTCAATGGCATTACCATCACTGAATCCCCACTATCAACATGCTGGGAGATTCCATTGACCAGTAACTCAACTGGACTAGCCATATAAATACAGTGGCTACAACAGAATGGCAAAAGCTGGGTATCCTGCAGCAAACAGCTCATCTCCTGACTCCCTAAAGCTTGTCCAACATCCAGGAAAAAGTTAACATGCTTAATAGGCACCACATCCACAAGCATCCACGCCCTCCAGCATCAATGCTCAGTAGCAGCAGTGTGAATTACCTACAAAATATACTGTAGAAATACACCAAGGCTCTTTAGACAGCACCTTCCACAACCAAGACCTCTTCGATCTAGAAAGACAAGGGCAGCAGACGTAAGGAACACCACGACCTCAAAGTTCCCCTCCAAACCATTCACCATCCTGACTTGGAAATATATGCTATAACAAGGCATAGAGCTGGATGAACACAGCAGTCCAAGCAGCATCAGAGGAGAAGGAAGGCTAGGAAGGCCTGCTGTGTTCATCCAGCTCTACACCTTGTTATCTCAGATTCTCCAGCATCTGCAGTTCCTACTATCTCTTGGAAATATGCTATTACTTCACTGTCACTGAGTCAAAATCCTGGAACTCCCTCCTTAACAGCATTGTGGGTTTACCTATAGCAAATGGACTGTAGCAGTTCAAAAAGGCAGCTCACCACCACCTTCTGAAGGACAACTGAGGACAATAAATGCCGGCCCAGCCAATGATGCACACATCCTATGAATAATTTTTTTTAAATTATGGGATTTTAGAATCAGAAACTGAATTTATTTTGCACTTTTCACATCTCTCAGTTATTCCAAAATATTTCTCATGTAAGGAAGTACTTATGAAGTGAAATGATTTGTTGTGAAAAGCAATTGTACAGTTACCTTGTATTGGTGACATTTGGGATGGTGACCAAAACAGTATGAAACCCGAACTCCTCTTTTGAATATTGCAATCAACAGGAAGAAGCAGATCATTTTACATCTGTTTTAAAGAACACAACTTCCAACAATGTGGCATCACTCGGTGTTACCCTGAATTGGGTGCCCAAATCTTGACCTGGGTCTGGAACGTGCAACTTTCTGATATATATAACAAGTGAATGTCAACTGAACCAAGTTGATGTAAGACAAAAGAATACAAGTAAACGTGTTTTGTACAAGTTTTATACGTTATTTCATTTAAAATGTTATCTTTGAATTTTTATTCATGCTAGCAAATGTATATGGATGAAGAGTCCAACTGTTGTGGAATACAAATAGAATGATCAAGACCTACAAACTTAAAATCCTATAAAATTATTGGATGTAAAATTATAATATATAAATTGCTTATGAAGCTATTGAATACACAGGTGCCTGATTTCTTAGTATATTATAAAGTGTGTCATCATCAAACCTGTATCATAGCATTAAGGAGAAGAGCTTTAAACATATGTTTTACATTTTTAACATGCATTAATCTGCACCAGAAGCTTTTGTAATGTAAAGTAATTGCATTGTGTTTGAACTGATGTTAGCAATATGGTTGAAAATATTAATAATGGGTAAACATGAAAATATTAATTGAGGGCATGACTGAAATCCATATATACTGAGAATGTGATAAACTTAATTCAGATGATTCAGAATTTATAAAAGTTACTGGTACAATCTTGTAACACTGATCCTTATTGAGGAACCCAACAAAGCTGTCTGTAATGGAACCCAAGTATTTATCTGGAGGGACTGCTGCATTATCTGGTAGTTAATAACCCTGAAATCCTATACAGATGGATCAAATAAGATATTTAGAAATCAACCACAATTGTTATCTGGAATTAAGGAGCTGTGGTCAAATCTATGATAATAAATTACTTGTTAACAGAGAAATTTGATTGCAATCATCAACAGCCAACATCATATACCATAGATTGTGACATATAAATGAGGTCGCCATGATTGAATTTCTCTGCTAAGAAATGCTATATTTGCATTAGGAGTTGACTTTTGTTTTGTGCCTCAGAAAAAAAACATGTTTTACTCACCTAATAAATTTGTACATGGGATCAAGGAGCCAATATGGGTTGTGTTGCCAAAAAGGTGCATGCGAGTTAGGAGACAACTACACCCTGCAGTTTGTGCGTGGCGAATGATAAACAGAACTGAGTCCTCATGCAAAGTGAATGAAATGCAAAGCTAATTTCAATCTGGAAGTCATTGCAGTAGCTAGATCATAACTGTGCCATGATGAAATAGGTCATGCGATGTTAGTGAAAAACTGGTGTGAGAATGAAAGGAGGAAGAATCCAGCGTGAAGAAAGTGCCCAAGAACAAATGTGCTACAAGAACCTGGACTTACGATTGGCCTGCTTTTGAGAAATGTGCATTAGAATGGATCCTTGACAATCCTCAAAATGATTGTACTTATGCAATGCAATGTGCATTAAGTGGACCAAAATAAACAAAGAGCCCAGTGAAGATTTCAGAGCATCATTGAATTGGTATGGTTGCTTTAGGACATGAAAATATTTAATATTGCAGCAGAAGGTCAAGATCACTTGGGCTACTAAAAGACCTGGAAACCAAAATCACCAATTCCCAGCAATTCTTCATCGGAGAGCACCAGAAACTTGTCTGTTCTTACATCATTGAGAGATGAAGCACCCGTGAATTTTGATATGCCTGGTAATCAGGCTGTGGAATGAAAAGCTGCAATAACAGTTCAAGTGAAAATAACAAGACATGCAAAACAAGATACATTATGGTTCAGGCCAATGGCATGAAATGAAAATCAAAATTAATTTTCAAATGTAAAATCATACTAAAAATCAAGTTCTCTTCAGGAGATTGTGTATATTTCCATGATGATTGGATAGAGGTCGTTTGTGGAATGATTTTTTTTTTGATATTCCTAATGGTGGCAGTTGCTGAATTGTAATGGCAGTACAAAAAAACAAATCTTACTTCATAACATTGTGATAGATAGTCATTAAAATATTAAAGGGTTGTATAGTTATGATTGTATATAATTATTTACAATATGATGCATTATTTATAAAATAAAAATGAAAAGTCTGCTGCTTTTTGTATTCCATTGATCATGCATTGCAAAAACTGAGTTCATTAAATTCTCAATCATTTGCATAATATATGAATGTTATCAAGTAGGGGATTGGGCAGTCTTGTTGATTATTTGATCCATAGCTTGTTTGTGAAATGGTGTATTTTCTCCTTAATTCTTTTGCACATTTACTTTATGTGATTGTAACAAGAGGTGGTGGCAGTGGGAGGTGGGATTTTAAGAGTTTTCTAATGAAGCCTACACAGAGCTTTTATTGCCTTTCAATGGGGATACATTATCTGTTTATGTCCAAGTTGTTTTGATATGTTACCCAAGATCAGTTTTGGTGCTGTGTTCTGAATGCTTTTGAGCTTATTGACATGCTCCTTGGTAAGTTCTAAATTCCAAACAGATACTGCTCATTCAACAACTAGTTTGAGATATATTGTAATACTTGAGAAGATGTGAAGAGTAGTATGTGAACTCTTCCATTTGCCCTCGTGTGGCCGAGCAAAGAACATAATTAATTGTGTGTGGAATGTATAATCCATATAACTGATGGATCAAGTTGTACTTGTGGAGAAATAACATCCAAATTGCAGTTAAAGCACAGGGTCTAATTACTTTAGTTTAGCCTTGAAATGTGTACCTCAAGGACCCATTCATGCGTCATGTTCATGCTGAGTGGAATGGGAGATAATTGACTGAGAAAGAAGAACCTGTGGAAATATGCATGCTGCTTGTGCCCACCCCCCCCCCCCCCCCCCCCCAACCCTTGATGATTTGCCACCAAACAGTGGCATGCTATTAATGCACAAATGTCATTAATTCTTTCAAAAACTGTGGAACATCCGATTCAGTGGATGAAGTGAAAGATGATTAGTTGTGGAGGTTGAAAGTAAAAGTGCCAGATCTGATCCTGGGTGAAATCCTTAGGTAAATGTCACAGTCAAAGTGACTCCGAATGAATTCAATAAACTTTCTGCTCTGGATGCAGGAGACAATGAAATCGACCTTTTATTTTCAAATATGTTAAAGGTATTCTTGTAAAATTAATTCATTCAATGAAACGTGTCACATTGATTTACTCTGTATTCCTGGTGCCTTTTTTTTTACAATTAGAAATGATTAGTTGTACATGCCGAATTTCCCTGACCAATGTTCCAACAGATAGAGTTGCACTCCAGCTTGACCAGAGCAGAGGAACCTGAGACGAGCCATCAATCAAACCCAGGATGAATACACTCTCCTCATCTCTCTCTCTCTCTCTCTCCCGTATTCATCTGTATCTCCTGTGTTGCACCCTCTTTGCTTTCCTGTCTCATTTACCCTCTCCTATTTCACTCACCTTCTCCTTCACTCACCCTCTCGTATTTCATTCACTGTCTTTCACTGTCTCCTCCCTCACACCCCGTCCCTCATTCACTCTCTCCTCGCTCACCCTTTCCTCTCTCCCTCACCGTCTCCTCTCTCTCTGTCACCTTTTCACTCACCCTCTCCCTCTCCCTCTCTCTCTCTGTCTCACTTTTTCCTATTTCCATTTCTCTCTCAAATAAAACACAGATTGGCGGCTGCTGGAGATTTGATACAACAACAGAAATTGCGGAAGAAACACCGAAGTCTAGTACCATCTGGGAGAGGAAGCAGAGTTAATGTTTTGGGTGAGTTGCTCCAGCAATTTCTGTTTTAGTTCCATTTGTCCCTCGTTGTCTTTATCTTTACTTCACGCTTTTCTCCTGTTGCCTGGTAACGGTGACGCTGTCACTGGTTTCCGGGGAAGTGGAGAGACTCGTTTCGCGATCAGGATCAGGATCACGATCACTCCGGGGTCAGGTTCAGGAGCACTCTGGGTTCAGGTTCAGGATCTCTCCGGGTTCAGGATCAAGATCACGTTAGGATCAGACTCCGGATCACTCTGGGTTCAGGATCTCTCCGGGATCAGACTCAGGATCACTCCGGGACCAGACTCAGGATTACTCCGGGTTCAGGATCACTCTGGGATCAGACTCAGGATCACCTGGGATCAGGATCACTCTGGGTTCAGGATCACTCCAGGGTCAGAATCATTCCGGGTTCAAATTCAGAATTACTCTGGGTTCAGATTCAGGATCACTCGGGATCAGAATCAGAATCACTCCGGGATCAGACTCAGGATTACTCTGGAATCAGAATCACTCCGGGGTCAGGATCACTCCGGGGTCAGGATCACTCCGGGATCAGACTCAGGATCACTCTGGAATCAGAATCACTCCGGGGTCAGGATCACTCCGGGATCAGACTCAGGATCACTCTGGAATCAGAATCAGGATCACTCCGGGTTGAGGATGTGTCGCCGCTGTTAGCAGTCTGCCACGGTCGGCAGCAATTTTGTTTAAAACGAGTAATCGGCTTGTTTCATCCCCCAGCTGGGTGTCGTCCTTTTTAGTTTTACTGATTTGTCCAGAATTAGTAATTACTAAGGAAGAAGCGAGAGAGACCAGCTCCGGGAAGGGGAGAGAGAGGGGATCCCCAGGGTGTTCAGTGTGGATTGGGAGCACCGAGACCCGCTCACTGGGAAACCCAGCCCTGGCCGGCTGATGGGTGCTTCTGTCTCAGTGATCGAGCTACATTGAGGTATGTCTGAAATGTCAATGTATTTGAAAAAAAAAGTGGCATCATAGTAATTGTGAAACAAGAAGCAACATGACCACTTAGTAAAACTTTTTAGGATCAAGGATGATACAAACTTTACACCTTCACAATTTATTTCCACTATTCCTCTTCTAGGTCACGTAGTGATTGGTAAGAGTGTGAAGACATGGCTTACCTTTCACTGACATCCCACAGAATTAGGAAAGCCTGATGTCATCGTCCATTTCTAATGATAACAGTGCAGTCAGTCCGCATGCCAGTACAGATAAACCCACATAGTCCCAATACCTACAACTATTTTAACTTCAGATAACTATTGATAATTTCAGATTAACTTTGAGTGCTATTCCACACAATATTTGTTTTAATATTGAAATTATATGAAACGTTCATAAATAGAATAATGAAGTTTGCACCACAAAAGAGGTAGTTTGGTCCATAATGTTTGTTTGGTCCATGAAGTCTTCACCTGCTGAAGGGGCGGTGCTCCAAAAAATTGTGATTTTAAATAAACCTGTTGGACTATAACCTGGTGTTGTGTGACTTCTGACTGTATCTATCCCAGTCCAACACCTGCACCTCCACATCATTGTGTAAACTTGTCATCACTTCTCCAATTTTTATACTTGTCTATGTAAAATCCAAAATGCAGTTGGTAATTTCCATGAATTAATTCACTTTCAGGAAATTCTTTATTTGAATGCTTAGATTATTTGTTCATTTGCACACTTCATCTTTTATCCTTCCAAACTGTTATTGGTAGCAGTAGCATAGTGTTTAAGCAATCCAGTGAGCTGGACAAGTTCTCTGGAATCATATGTTCAAATCCACCATGGCAGCAGTGGAAATTTAAATTCAGTTAATGAATAAATCTAGAATTTCAGCTCATACTAGATTGTCATAAAAATCTATCTACTTCTCTAATGTGCTTCAGGGGAGGAATTCCATGTGCATGTGACTCCAGACCCACAACAATTCGGTCTGAAATGGCCAAGCAAATGACTTGGTTGTATCAAACCGATACGGGAAAAAAAAGTGGGTGTATGTAATACCACATAGATTGCAGTAGTTTGTTCCTAACTTCCCCAATTAAGGATGGGCATTAAATCCTGCTTTTGTGAACACTACTCTCATGTCACATAAGTAAATAAAAAAAATTGTAAATGTAACACTTGTAACAAATGTACATTTGTCACATGTCACCCCATTCCACAAATCTTGCATGCTTTACATATGTAATTTACATTTCTCGATGTTTGCTGCATTGCTTAACCTTGTATCAATAGCAGGATTCAAAATTGTGTTTCATGTGCAAAAGGCAATATAGTTTATGTAAACCCAGTTTTAAAAAGCTATTTGTTTTGACTGTCCTTTATGAGCCAACATATTACCAAATGCTTATTTGTTTTATCTAACTAATATTACACCTTTATTAAGGTATTGATTATTCACTTTTGAAACCACGGACCTAACCTCCCTCTCAAAAGCCCAATCTTGACTCCACTGTCCTTTAAGATCGGTGCACCATCTCCAGCTTTTCTTTTCTCTCTTAAATCTTCAAACGGACGGTTGCCTCTCATACCTGTTTCCGCCTGTCCCTGTCTGAATCAGATTTTTGACCCCGTCACTGTATAAAACATCCCCTAACTAAAGTCACAAACAACTTTGCAACTGCAATTTCTAGTATTTGTAGCCTTGTTTGATTGCTTGGTCAAGTACTTTTTTCATTTTGATGCGGACATAACTACCTGTTAACAACTGTTTTATAATCACCTTTCAGAAAGAAAGAACAGGGAACCAGTGCGCTACATGTTCTTCCAATTTGAGCCTTCAGAATGATTTTGCATGTTTATCTGGAGCTTATTCGCTGGGAATGATTTTCAGTTATTGATCTATCTTCCCTGAAGTAATATCATTCATTCTGATTTGAAAATCATCATTAACTACATCCTCAAGCACTACAGACTTACCTGGCTCAAATATCAGATTATCTCTGAGACCTAATGTTGTTCCCAGTCGAGTCTTGCCAAGAATGCCATCTCATCTTCAATAAGATTCTGCTTCTGTGATCCCTATAAGACAGATATTTGGCTGGGATGGACCTGTGAAATAGAAAGTATTAAAGAATGTACCATTTATCATTCAGTCCTTGCTATTGCAATTCTAGTTTGGAAAATCTATAAACTATTGTACATAGTGAATTTGCCATAATGGATTACCTTACTCTTTATAGAAGATAACAAGAATAGGTGATATTTGCCTCTCTTAGTATGAAGGTCGCAGAAACTCTTTAATTCAGTAAAATGATCAAGACTGAGTAGTAAATGCTGACCAATCCAATAGGTTCACCATTTCCCTGGAACATTTTAAGAATAACCTGTTTTTAATGAACTTTTTAATTACAAGCAATAATTGATTCTAGCTGATTTATACCTGTTACTTCTGTTGAATTATTAATACCAATATTTTCAATACAAAAACATACTTAAATGAACACATCTTTGACATACCGTAATTGAAAGATAATTTTTTCTAACATAGGAAATTTCTCTTGTGAAATGCAATGAGGTATGAAAATGATCCAGTGCCTAGTTATTACACAGTACTTATACAGCTTGATGACTCTCAAATACTTTCTAAGTGTATTACTTAATAATGATGCTGTCCGTAAATATGAGATAATTACTTTAACTTGTTTTTGTCTCTTCAGAATGATCTTGACATAACAATAATGAATCCTGTTATCTTGGAAACTAAAGGTTCACCACATTTGCATCCATCACCGCAAAATGATCACTTATTTCAGAATAACAAAGGAACAACAGCATGTGGATCAGATATGTAAGTAATCCACAAGTATTTTCCATTAACAATTTATAATGGTTCATAAGCTTTTCTTCCTTGGGTTATTCTACGCTTAACATAAATAATATCAATAGATTACCAGAAGAGAATAAATAAATATTTGGGTTAATACAAAAACACTTGTCTCTCACACAGAGAAAAAACATACATCTGTTATATTGCTTGTAATGATAAATCATTTTGTCACTTCCCTCCTGAAAGATCTGGCTGTAATTTTTCAGTGATGTCACCTAGTCTCAGACTCCCCAGCCAGAAAAATAGGTTCTAACTGTCAATCCTGTCTGTTCGCCTTAATGTGTTGCAAACTTGGATTTAGTCTTTGGTGTCCATTTTGGTAAATCCATGCTACATTCTATACAAAGCTAAAGATCCTTCCTGAGGGGTGATGCTCAGATATGGGTGATCCTTCGACAGAAGTGGTGAACACTACAAAGGAGTATTATCTTAAAAGGAACAGAATAAAGGAGAGGCAAATAAAACACACACACAAGTGAGAGGAAATCAAATTGTTTAGAGCGCATAATTGAAAATTCTCAAATGGTTACATGAGAAAAATTATATGAGCAACCTAATTAAAGCAATTAAAAATTAAGTATACAATAAATCAGAGGACATATAAATTGCAAAGGAAGTAGGAGAACAGGCAATAACAAGGTGTAGAGCTGGATGAACACAGCAGGCCAAGCAGCATCAGAGGAGCAGGAAAGCTGATGTTTCGGGTCTAGACCCTTCTGCCTATTCTCACAGAGATAGTAGGAACTGCCGATGCTGGAGAATCTGAGATAACAAGGTGTAGAGCTGGATGAACACAGCAGGCCAAGCAGCATCAGAGGAGCAGAAAGGCTGAC